GTTTTCTTTTTTTCCTGTCAGTCTTGGGAAGTGATCTCTTTGCATCTTCACATGATTCAACTGATGCATCTGAAAAGAGAGGATAAATCAGTTCTTCAGGCCCCATCTACACTACTCAGTTTTAGTTTTAAAACAAATACTATCTCCGTCCACACCAGCGTTTAGCTGCGTTTCATCTCCGTCTATATTAAAACGACTGAAAACGCACATCTAGTGCCGTTCAGGTACACTGAGCATGCGTGCGCCGGTGTAAACATGAAGCAGATGGTCTGTTTCGTAGTCACAGAAGATTAGGTAAAAGAATAAAGTACTACAAACGAAGAACCACACCAGATTTTTTTTGCATGGACCAATAACGAGCTGGGACTGCTACTGTAACAAGGGAGTACAAAGAGACTGTGGCGGCGGAGAACAGTCTAGAAGTTGTCACAAAGTAAATATGGCGACATGCACAGTAAAAGTGTAGGCTATTAGTATTATTTGCACGGTACAAAATATTTAAATAAAAATACCACACCTAAGAACTCTGTTAGTAGCATCGTGTTTCTGCTTTGCATGACAGATATCTAAAGTCCTAAAACGCCACCCGGAGTTTTAAAGCGAAAAACGGAGTCGGCAGCGTTTTGCCGGGAAGTGCAAATGTAGCAAAAGGTCTCCATTTTAAAACGAAAACGCAGTAGTGTGGATGGGGCCTCAGCTAACCACTGGTTGAAGTTTGTATAGCAACAGCACATACTAATTTGCAATAATAATGATAAAAAATTATGATATATCAATAAACATTACTAACTCATATATATATATATATATATATTATACAGAGGATGAAGCCTACTGACTTTGGTGATCCCCTGAATTTTCCTCAAGTGCCATCAACAGGTGAAGGGTTTGACTTATCCTATGAAATATCTAAGATGGACATCCAGGGTTCCCAGATGTATTCTGATGTTTTAGGTGAGCGCGCCTCTCCCTCTTGCGCCACCATGAGGTGGACATTTGGGATTTTGAGTGAAATGTCTCAACAACGGTTTCCATCACCATTTCCGTCATCCTCACTTTTCTCCTTTTTCCTTTCATCTGATAGTGAGAGGTGAGAGACAGACTGACTCGATACTAAGATTTTCTCAGCAGGTTAAACCTCCACTATTCTCTATGATTATCAAAGGCGATTAAACTGTATATTGTTTGTCCAAAAGTGGAGGTTTGTGGAGGTGTCTGCATGGCTCCAACGCCCCTTTTATACATCAGCTGGACTTCATTAGCTGTCTCTTTGTCAACTCCATTTCTATAAATAAAGCAAAAATGAAAGAAAAAATTATATAATATAATGTAATCAAACACCACACCATTACAGTTTCACAAAGGTGTCTTAAGTACTGGATTTGTTTATTGCAGTGTACAGGGGTCTTTTTTTCTTGTCACTCAGTGAACAGAACATAATAAAAATCATAGATACAAGAGGTGTCTGGTTTTAATTGCATTGTTACAATTACAAGATTAAGAACAAACAATATTTCACATGTAGCTTCATGACATGACATGACAATCTCCGCGTGTGGTTCCATAAACATCAAGTAGAAAACACAATACTCTGTTCAGGTAATATCAACTGGCTGTTATAAAATAAATTCCAAGGATTACCCTAATACCATCTAAGAATGTTTCCTATTTGTTTGGATAATATTACTAAATAAAACCTGGAACCTTCTCAAAACTTGTGCAGACGCACGTATAAACAACACTTCTGGATTTTACTCAGCAAAGTTGTCCACATAACTCAGTAAACCTGGGGAGTGGTGTAGAATAACAAGACCCCTTTTGTTCATTTAACTTTAACAAATAGATAACATTTGTTCAATACAGCGAAATCAGAGTGAACATGATCAGGTGAATCCAAACCTGGTTTAAACAATCAAGATAGCTTCACATGTACGACTACAAGCCACAGACCTGAGATATACAGTACATATACATCAGTTAAAATCCCTGACGAGCAGCTACAGAGCAGCACATGAGATACACTGTATAAAAAACTGAAATAAGCTAATAAATCCAAAATATGGGTAATGCCTAAATAGCACTGTTATTTGTTCTCCCACTGACTGTATAATCCTAAAATCAAGGGTTATAGCAATGGAACTTTCAGGAGTGATCTTATACTTTCCGTTGTAAGCTTAGTTAACATTAAACAACTATGACATTTTACCAACATCTTATTTGGCAAGATTTGCTTTTTCTACACGGTGAAAATACTGTTTAATTTCTTCAAATCATATTATTCAGTTAATGTAGAGGTGTTACATTAAAACGGGTGACCCATAAAATTACATTGTTAACTATTATTTATTATATATAATATAACTATTATAACTCTTTTTTATTTTACCTTTGAAAAGAAGGAGGCTAGCTGTTTCCTGTTGCTTCAAGCCTTAATGCCAAGCTAAGCTGATTGGCTGCTGGCTGTAGCTTTACATTTTGTGTACATGAAAGCAGGATCAACGTAACTCTAAATAAATAAGCATAATCCCCAAAATGTGGAACTAATCTTTTAATGGGTTGCCATTATAAGGTGTCCACCATAGATTTTGTAATGTATTTGTGTTGTAATTGGGCCCAAATGCCTCCACTCGAAACCTCCACCTCTGAATAAAAGACAAACCTTTCATTATAACTCCATGACTCCTTATACGTCCATCCTTGTTTCAGGGGTTGTTACTGTTTTGTCAAATAAGATAAAATTCCCTGCCGACAGATCAGCCATTTTCAAGGGTTTGTAACAAAAATTCAATAATTTTACCATCAAAAGTTTACTTTAAAATGGACACATGTCGATAATGTAAATTTATTTTTAAACAATTACAGGGAGCAGCATGTGCCCTCGATAGTGCAGACTCAATATTTGAGTGCAAAATATTTAAGTGGATCAAATCGCCATGGCCCAGGCTACTACTGAATACTTCCTCTCAGTTCTTGGAGGATGTCAGTGCCACTGCTCCAGGCAATGACTTTAGCTCTTAGAGAAGTGTTATCTTCCTGACCTTCCAGCTTGGCCAGCAGTTTCTCCAGGGTGTACCCCTTCCTGGGCATCACAACATCATGCCCTCTCAGACAGTAAGTCGGGCAGAGATCATTCCCACCGTCCCCCACATAAAATATCCGCTCATACTCCACGCCGCCATCAGACTGCTCCGACAGGTACAGCTCCAGGACTTTTTTCTTACAGAGGTTGACGGGGCATCGATCACAGTCGTGAGAGTGGTGGCACTGTACCTCCATGTACCCGAGCTGATTGAACCTAGCCGGGTTGGTGAAAACCTGATCGACAGCTGCCTGGAGTCCAGATGAGTTGAGGATCCAGTCTATGAACATGGTGTTGGAGTCAGAGATGACGATGCAGTCAATGGTGCTTTTATGCTCTGATATGAATGTCAGCAAGTCTGTCATTCCAGCTGTGAAGGGGATGGTCTCCATCACGCTGCGAACCGTGTCGGGGCTGACCTCCTGGTCTCCTGCATGGACACACAAAAAAGTCAGAGGACTGAAGAATGGAGGTAGCAATAAAATGTCAGAGTACAATATTATGAGCAGCTTTATGGACGTATGAATGAATGTATGAACGGCCTACAAAGTAGAATAATGAATTCTCACCTATGTAGTTCATCACTCTGCCCATGAACTCAGTCCAGTGGCCTTTTTTGTAGGAACTCTTCACAGAGTCAGGAAGAGTCTGACCTGGAAGGCATCTGTGAAGAGAGAAAACAAAGGCGGTGATGTTGCTTGTGTTTTGTGATGTCTTTTATAGAGATTAATTAAAATGTATAGTATTTACCTAATCACCCAGGTGTCACTGTTATCATCAACCACAGTGTGGTCAAAATCAAACACCATCAGCGTCTTCATTTTTCACCTGGATAAATACGTAACAGTTTCATATAAAGAACAATATGCACCAAGACCTGGAGTAAGAAATCTATTATTATTTACCATAATAAATAAATAAAGCTCATTATGTAATATTTTCTTTAGATAAACATGTTTGCTCAGTCTAGTGGTGACAGGTTTTGGTTGAATTTATCAGCTGTTCAGTCTGTTACGCCCAACTTATCTTTCAGCAGCATAAACAGTGAGTGATGCCAATAAAGTAACGTTATACCACCAGAGTCATTTTGAAAAACATTTGTTTCTTGACATTGAGTCTCACACAACTTTACATTCACAAATAATATTGGTAAATAGGTACCACTACAAAGACATAAGACAGGTTACTTTCACATTCACCTAGTCAATTACAGTATGTTCCCTTTGCTCTACTCTGCACGCCGATTGCACCACAGCGCCTCAATTAATCCTGCGGTGTTTTAAGTTATTTTCTACTAATTATAAAAGTTCAGCTTAAACTCGCTATGTTTTAAGTGACTAATTATTGATAAGAAGTCCGGTGTAATCGTCTCTCTCGCCTTATACAAGTAAACAGCCTAGCAACCCGGCTAATCGATCCTTCCATTAAAATTCTGCTCTGACGGTTCAGATTAGGCTCATGGGAGACAACAAGGATTACGGTGTCCTCTACACTACACCACGCCCCAGGTTAGGAGACATAAAACACATGATCGTAGGTAAAACGGAGATCAACGGCAAACTAACCTCAGCCTTCCTGACATCTGTCAGCCGGTCTGTCTGTCTTCTTGTTGTGTTACAAAATGTGCAGCAATTCTGGACTCATTACCGCCACCTTCTGGTGACTTACCGCCAGTTGGAGTCTTTTATAATAACTACTATTTAACTATATTATAATAATTGTTATTATTATAAAAGTCGTTCCCATACTGCCACATACAAACATAGGCTTAATACTTATACATTATACTACCTTGTATACATATATGTATACATATTTTAAAGGAGTGTGGGGGGTTTCCTACAATGAGTAATGCTGTAATACCAGCCTATTGACCACTGGGCGGCAGTAACACACAGTTTCACTGAAGGAAAGAAGAAGAATTTACCCTGTCGGTTTAGTTCCTGGTTGCATAAAGTGAGGTATTCAACTCTGTCCAGGTTGTTGGTTTTCTCGTCGTTAAGCTAAACAGGCATTTTGTTTCCACCAATATGTTCAAAGGTTTAGGGACGTGGTTGGGTTTGGAGAACCCGCCGTACACGAAGACGCCGGACGACAAAGAAAACCTGTCTGTGGAGCAGGAAGAGAAGGTGGTGGAAGCACAGAACGAGGTAAACAAACAGCAGCCAGCTGACCAGGATGGAGGACCAGAGGCGGACCAGGAAAACTCTGAGCAGGGCAAAGGACTTAGTGGTGAGAAGGAGCCGTTTTCCCTAAATTATTGTTGTTTTTGCGAAATACAACGTCATGCTAGCTAATTAGCAAGCTTGCTTCTGTAGTTGTGCAGTTCAGAGTGACGTTAACGTCAGTCTGTTTATGTCAACTCATCATAAACCCCTTAAATCAGAAGAATGTGGGTTAAATGTTTCTCCATCCCGTTGTTCTTCATTCTCTTGAACTGTAAAGTTAGCTATATTACAAGAGATTTAGCCTAGTACGTTTCGTCTTCAGCTTTGGTGTTTGTTGACAACAAGAGGGTCTGTGACTGCAGGAGTCTTCTGATGTGTTTGTGCTGCGGTGTTGGGGCCATGTTTTGTTTCTTTTGGTAACACAATACGGTGCTGCTGTCAACCACGCCATCTTCTCATCTTCCTCTTCCATCTGAAGATTTCATCTTCAGTTTCGCCTCCAGTGCCACGAAGAAGATCTCGGAGTCAGTGGTAGAGACAGCTCAGACCATCAAGAAGACTGTGGAAGAGGGGAAAATCGACGGCATCATAGACAAGGCATGTGGCTCTTTTGGCTTGTCTGACAAGTTTGGCAGCATGTAGAAAACCCATCAGCGTTCATCTGTGGAATTGCCGGAGTTTTACATGTTATTGTCATGTCCCGTAATTTGCTCAGCATGATATAGCCAAACATTATCGTGGCAATATTCCATTAGACATGTTGCCCCCAAGACCTTTTCACCAAACTTAACACGCATGTGTTTGCAGACTTTTCTAGGAGACTTCCAAAAGGAGCAAGAGAAGTTTGTCCAAGAGAAGAAGGCAAAAAAATCAGGTACAGTCTGGCTGGAAAACGAGAATCTTCTTATTGTGGGAATACTAGGATTCCTAGACCATGATTAGAAAATGATGAAACAGTGGGAAAGTGTCAGTAATGTAGTAAGTAACGGTGAAGTGAGACGATGTAACTACCAGTATTGATACAGCTTTATTGGCTTCATGAGGATTTATAGTTTTCACAACTACTTAAAGTGATTCACCTCCCAAAATCTGTCAATATTAGAATCATTGTACGTCTGATGTGGGTCTCAAAGGTGCAAAATGGCTCAATAGTGCCCCCTACAAAATGTCAACATTTAGAGTTTTCGTTTGTTCATATTGTTGAATTTTCTATGTTTTGCCATGAAACAGGAAGTAGTGTAACTGGACTGTACATGGTCAGATGTCTCCCAGATGTTACGTTTGATAAGACACTTGAAAGACAGCTACCTGCAAATAATCAGTCACAGCGCCACCTACTGGCAACAATAAATTACGTTTTGTATTTTGATGTACCCCTCCTAGCCGAACGATCCCACCCATCTCAAAACTGTCTCTGAAAAGCAAGGTCTTAACCTTGATAATGGGATATGGTGAAACTCCTGTTTGTGGTGTGTTGAATTTTATGTTTCACCATGAAGCATTACAAAACAGTTAGAAAAAATAGACTCTACATGGTCAAATCTGCCCCAAACAAAAACATTTGGGCCGTGCAATCTAAAGGCCTTTTAAAGGCTTTTGAGTTTCACAATTTGTACCTGTGCTACCTTGTTCAATGTTTCAAATAAGTATATGCAACACCGGTTACGTCTGTCAAAGTGTTTGGGGAAACTGAAACATACTGATGTAGGGTCACATGACAGATTTCCTGGTGAAAAATATATCCTATGAGGGTGAAATGTACAGCTTGGGAAAAAAAAAAAGAACAAAACTGTGATAAAGACATGTAGCATATACAGTATGTAAGGAACATTTATTCATGCATATACAGTATATACACCTAAATAACGTATTGTAGCTGGCAGAGATGTATACAAAGAATAACAAAAGCTTGGTTATCATTGAGTTATTTATGCGAGTTTATGTCCAGACTGAGTCCACAAAGTTGTTTGCTAAAAGCGTTGCCCAAATACCCGTCAGAAAATTGAGTATTCTTGGCAAGAAATTTCTTTAAATAGGTAGTACTCACTTTTTTGCAAGTATAATACAGTCTTTTCTGTCAAAACGTCAATTGTATAGCACCTTTCAAGTTGAAGATGGTACCAATATAAACAGTTAGAGAGTTAAAGTGAAATAAGAAATTAAGTAAAATAGAATTTAAATAGTTTCATAAAGTCCAATGTTGAACTACACTGAAAAGTGGAAATGTAAGGCACATTGTCAGTTACTCTTCATTTTGTCTGATTATATTACCATTATCACAAAATTGGAATGAATTCAAACTGAAGTGTGAATTGCACCGTAATGTCAAAATAAATTCAAATTGCTGTCTAGCCAATCTTGATAGAACATGTGGTAAATGTTCATGTCTGTGAGAAGCGGTGGGCTCGCTGCACAAATGATGCTATCGTGATATTGTCGGCTCATATAACTTGCGTGCCAACCAGCTTCTATTATCACAGACCCAGGTGTATGCCTGTGTGTATCCCAGAGATAAGACTCGCGATCGAGTGATGAAACACCTCTCTGAAGCCTAGTTTTGTCTGATGGTCTTGTGTACTTTGTGTCAAAGGGAATTTTTCACAGCATGTGACTGAAGGGGTGTGTGTGTGTGTTGGCGTTTGTGTCTAGACTCAGCAGTCCCACCTTGGGTCGGCTACAATGAGGAGGAGACAATCCAGCAACAGATCCTTGCTCTGTCAGCTGTAAGAGACCAACTTACAGAGACCAAACACATTTTATGAATGTGTCAATGTGCCTGTGACATTATCACTGTCTTTGATAAATAAATACTTATCTCTGGAAACTCACTCTCTGGCTGCTTATTCTAGGACAAGAGAAATTTCTTGCGAGACCCTCCCGCTGGCGTTCAGTTCCACTTCGACATGGAGCAGATGTATCCTCTGGCTGCAGTGATGCTGGAGGAAGACCAGCTGCTCAACCGCATGCGCTTTGACTTGGTTCCTAAACAGTCAGTAGACTTCCACCATTTACATGCATGTGATTGTATGTGCGTGTGTTTGCATGTGGCATCAACATTTAAATGATATTATAAAATGGACGGTGCTGTGTTTTGTTTTGGGACAGTGTGAAGGAGGAGGTCTTCTGGAGGAATTACTTCTACCGGGTGTCTCTGATCAAGCAGTCGGCTCAGCTCACAGCGCTGGCAGCCCAGCAGCAGCAGCAGCAGCAGCAGCAGAAGGACGGTGAGGACACAGGGGCCAGCGTTTCACCTGAGGACATCGTCTTAACAGGTCAGACATTCATCCATGCTTTAACAACAGCAGAGATGCTCCACGGGGTCCTTTGGCCTGTTAGTCACATGAGCAGACGCCACTGCTGCATTTGGTTCTTTTAGAACTGTACATGTCATTCACACGGGTGGAAGTTATAAAATATGCCAATCCCTATGAACACTCAGAGCAGCTGGATGCGTAAAACTTGTAGATTCATGACTAAACCTCCTGAAATATCTGTAGGCGGCTGGGTGATGACATATCATTCGATATCGATAATTATCACGATAATGTCAAATCATTATTTCTTTAGTTTAAAGGCTGTTTTTGCTCCTGAATGGAAGATGACCTGATGGTTAACTGTGGTTTTAAACTTTTCTTTATGATCAGAACAAACACTTGATGTCAGGAGATCACTTAACAAATCTGAGGTAGAACGTTCAAAACAATTAAGTCAAATCTTTTTTCAGTAAATATCTTAATAGAAAAGTGAAGCGCTGATTTGTTCTTGAATCAGATGAATATAATCAAACATTTATTGAACATTTACAGAATAGTTTTTTTGTTGTTAATGATGAATTATGATTATTGTTTTACCGCCCAGCCCTAGTACGCACACACATCCGCTTCAACAGTTAGCCATAAATGGATGTAGACGCTCCCTCCATCACATGTGTTTGCAATTCTTTAGCTCCAGCGCTCGTTAGACCTGTCAGTGAAATTCTGTGGCTATTCCATGAATTCGTCGCATGTACCTGGAAACCCTCATTTGCGGTGAAATCATCAGTCATTACTGATTAACGTGTGAAAGATTTTGAAAAGTGCTTCACAGTTGAGGACATGATGAGCGTTAAGAAAGGGCAGTTAGACGATTCCTCCAGTAAAAGAATCCTAATTCAATCACACGAAATCTCAATCAGATTTATAAATGCGCCTTTGACGGACATTTTACTAATCCCTGTTTAGAAAATATGCTGCGCAAAAATATCAGATAATCAGTGAAATTCGCTAAATGAACAGTGTTCTATCCTTATGTCTTCTGCACCTTTTCATATCACCTGTAACCTGCTCCGGAGAATAGGTGAATGCATGACCTAAAGCGGAAAGTAGCGAATAACATTTACTCACGTTAGTGTAATTGTAGTCGTTTTTATAATCTGTAATTTTACTAATAGCACTGTATTCTTTTTTTTTTTTTTGTAGACAACGTCAGACCAAAAACTCCACCAGTTTCCATCAGCGACATACAGAAGGTAAGCGTGCTGAATTGAAGACGTGTGTACGCACATCTAGATATTTCTGAAACATGTGAGAGTTGTACAGTGAGCCGCCTTTTCCCGTACGGTCTGACTCTCAGACACCTCAAGAAGAAGAGGAGGAGATGTCGACAAGTCCTGGAGTGTCCGAGTTTGTGAGCGACGCTTTCGACTCGACGGCCATCAACCAGGAGGACCTGAGGAAAGAGATGCAGCAGCTGGTGCTGGATAAGAAGGAGAGCGTCCCCTCTCCTGACGGTTAGCTATATCAGATTTTATTAATTCTTCAGCTAAATGTCAACTCTTAGGTGCTCACATCACACAGCTACAAGTATTCCAAAGGTGTATTGTACATATTCAGCCTATAAGCATCTCGCTCATAATCCTCCCTTTAACCTTTTTATATTCAGATGAGTCAGCAGACTGGGAGAAGGAGCTGCAGCAGGAGCTTCAGGAGTACGAGGTGGTGTCCGAGTCAGACAACAAAGACGACCAGTGGGATCAAGAGATCGAGAAGATGCTCCAGGCTGATGAAAACTAGACAAAGCCCCTGTGTTTGTCTCCTGTACGGTGATCTGGCCCAGAATGGATGACCAGCGATGCACAAGGGGATGAACTTCTACATCCTCTGCCCCACCCAACTGTGATTACTGTCATGTAAACATTCTCTTGTACCTGATGAAGATGTAGATCCAATAACAGCAAGAGTGTGTAGCCTCTGCTGGCAACAGTGGTTATGTTCAGGTGTATTAGTAAACAGTGCTACTTTATTGCTCCTTCCTAAATTGGTTTTATCAACATGCTCTCCTCTACTCTGTCTCATTGTGACGGGGAAAATCCTCTAGAGGGCACTCCAGTACAAGTACCATGAATTTTATAATAGAGGAAGGGCCTGTTTGAGTTTTATCTGTTTCCCCTGCTGCTTTCTGGTGGGTTGTACAGTAAAGTCTTAGTATAGTTACAGTAGACTCAAATGTAAAGTTAGATTTATGTAAATAAAGCTGATTCTAACACTACACTAAACTTCACGTTGCATTTCCCTTTCAGTACACTTGCTTGTCATTTTACATTTTGTATTGCATTTTGACAAACCCGTGTGCATGTCTGCTTTGTTTTGTTTCTCTGCTACTTAAAATACTGTACATTTTCTGTTTTATCTGTCATCCTTTCATAAATATGTATCTGTTTATTATGGACAATATACATCATGTTTAAATTAGAAACAAAGCCCAGGGTGACTTAACTTTTAAAATGATAAAATAGTGTTTTTGTGATTTTAAAAAAAAGTAAAAAGTCTTTTTATGAAGCTGCAATGTGGCATATTTATGTTTTGTTTGTACCAGTACAAAACAAGCTTGAGATCCTTGTCTTGTACATTTAATTTGATTCCCCATGAAGTCCCCACCCATTGATGTAGAATAAACACTAACAAAACAAGTGTTTTTATGTATTACCAAAATGAAAATGGTGAAACTCCGTACAATAAACCATTCGGTAGGAATTGCCGAGAGTTTCAAATATGAGCGCTGTTTTCTGGAGGTTTACACCCTTCTGAATTCTCTGAAATTAGAAAGGAACAAAATTCACTCAAGAAATGCACTGTAGCATATCAAAACTGATCTACTAGAAAGGAAACAAAATGTATTCATTTAAATTTGTTCATCATTTATTTATTGAGGGAAGTTTCACAGAGAGGAAGCTTCTCTTCTGCAGGAACGCCCTGATAGCATTCACACGGTTTCACACATTCGCATGTGCAAGCTGCGCAACCCAACCGATCTATGATCTGCTGGCCACTGAGCAGCTGCCCTTGAAATACAAAGTTTACAACTAGCACACCTTGCTGTCAGTGGAAAGGCACTAAACAGAATGACAAGCAATATAGAAGAGGCTGTCCCTGTGAAGGCCACTTTGTGTTATATATGTATTTATTTTGCCTATTATGAACTGTAACCCATAACCAATAACACCAGCAAATGTTATATGGCCGGTGAAATATTTTATATATGTGACCAACTTACTTGTTGTTTATTCATATAGTCGTAACAGGATGCTGCAATTAATATCACACATAATCATGTTGAAAAGAACGCCTGACGTTAAATGCTTATTCACTTTCTTGGCAAGGTTTAGACGAGAAGGTCGATACCTCTCATATATCAGATACGATATGTGAGAGGTAGGGGGTTGGTGATGGTGCAGTGGATAAGACACATGCCTTTGGTGAGAGATACCTGGGTTGAACTCCACACTGTGACACGTCCACCACTGTGTGCATCTTTAGTTCTTAAATCTGCTCCGTTAAATTTAATCTGGGACACCCTGATGGCTCGATGTTCAAGGCGTCGCCAACGTAACCCTAACATCCCTGCTTTTAGTCCAGCTGGGGACCTGTGGGGACCTGTTGCCACCAACCCCTCCCTCCCTCCCTCCCTTCCTCCCCCATCTCTATCAGTCCTCATTTCCTGCCAGCTCTCCACTATGAACTGCCTAATAAAGGCTAAAATGCTTGTAAAAAGTGGTGATTACATGTTTATCCCCTCCACTGGGAGATCCGTGGTCACCATCAGAAACATGGAGATAGTAATGTGTCTGTAAGCTGCTCACGGGGCGCTGCTGCCTTCACTTCGGACTGGAGAGCAGCACCGTGTTCAGCCCTTTTCACGTGGATGATCCTTCCAGACAGGAGTGCCATTATGTGTGACTTTTAATAAACGGTTTACATGAACAAACTATGCTTTTCTAGCTGAATGTGAGGCGGTGGAAGGGGGCGAGAAGAAAGTCAGCGGAGAGAGTGAGTAAGTAAGTGTGGAATGGCAGGAAAGAAAGCCTGGGATGCTTTGGTAGTAGAAAGTCTATAATCACGTTAAATGAGACAAACACATAGCTCTGCTTCTGTCGAGCAGACAGCCAGACACGTCTCTGCATGCTCCTGGAAACAGATGGTGTGCTGTCTGGCGTGTCAACACTACTGCCGCCACAACTGAATGCTGAAATGAAATGGAGAATAAATACTCATTTGCAACTAGCAATCAATACGGGGATCAATATGCTCATGTCTGCTGTGCTTTTTCTCTCTTCTGTGGGTTTCAGGTGTGTCCAGGCATATAATGAGAAAAACAAGCCGCTCAATGAATGGACTAATTCTCAGTGCAGCATGGTGTGTTCCCTCTTTGTTTCGGCTCTCTTTCTCACCTAACCCCCATCACAACATCTCAGTCAGCCTCCACCAGCTGGTCTCTAGCCGGGGAGACAGTTGTCACCATGGTGACAAAGCCCAGCAGATGAAGACTCATGTGTGTGTGTTGCTTGGTTTTAACAATCTTTTAATAATGCATAAAGGTGGGCCTCTGTGTATGTGTGTGTGTGTGTGTGTGTGTGTGTGTGTGTGTGTGTGTGTGTGTGTGTGTGTGTGTGTGTGTGTGTGTGTGTGTGTGGGTGGGTGTGAAAATTTTCTTGCCTGTATTCCAGATAAATTCTAGATGACAGATAAGCACATTAAAACAAAGATCACAGAGTGTTTGGGCTGCCAGGAAACAAAGGGTAAGGAGTGTTCTTATTTATGGGGGGGTTAAATAAAAGCAGTTTGTTCAGTTCACTGTTTGTGATAACGTTTGCATTTCTGCTAGAGGGCTAAAAGCCAGACATGCACTAACTATAAGCAAGAAAGGTCATAATAATTTGAAATTTAATTTTCACTACTGAATATTTGATTTTGACATTTAAATGTGTTAAATTGAAACATCCTCTGAATATATGAGGTTTGAATTCCCCTGTTTAAAACTAAGAAATAAGAAAAGAAGAAAAGAAAATCCGGGATCAGCAAATTAGACATGAGAGAAAATTACATGTCACTCATCCCTTTCTTGAATTATATGACTGAATCAGGTCTAATTGATTCAGGCTTGATTACTTCTCTTTGGTAGGTGTTCAAGTCTGAATATGAAGTCTTTTATATTGAATGTTTTTTTGGTCACTTCAGCGATGTGGTAACAAGCGACTTACGCAGCACTGATATATTTTTATCTTTTAAGTTGATACGGCGAAGCTGTGATCAAACTGTTTTACAATTTTTTTACACATTAGCATTCCTTCAGAGTTGCGTTTCGGTCTACATGATAAAAGTAAGACAAATATTCTCTCTTGTTAGATTCCTTACTGAGGACAGATTCTTCAGAGACACCTAAAACTGCTTTCAGATGTCTGTGCCATAATTCAGCTTCGTGCTTACAACCAGGTCAGTTTGTCTGCATACCACAGCAACCTACAAGTTGACACTTGTGTCAAAAGGAATAAAAATAAGAACCACAGACACCCACACTGCAAAGAAAGTGATAATAAATACATAGCTGGAAACAACACGGTTGCAACAAAACTGGGTGAAATGTGCTTGAATACAAAAGGATGGATGGCTGAACTTGTGATAGGTGTAGAGTTGATTTAAACCCCCATAAAGCTGTTGTTTTCATAGAGAATGCTGGCCTTTTGCCTTTATGACCGTCCTGTAAAGTCATTTAAACTATAAAGGGTGTAGCTCTGAGACCCCAAAAGGCTCTGAGACTATTGTTGGTGAATTTTACAAGAAAGGGCTGCTGTGGGTGTCCTCCCATGTGTTTGAAAATGTCTCGGCTAAGGCTGAATACATATATGGAGGAGTCTGGGATGACGTTACATTTATGCTAAGGGGAAGGTATGGGTTAGGTTCAAAGTTCAGATTTGGAAACAGGCTCAGATTTGTGTAAACTCATCAAGGCCTTGCATGTAGCACAGTGTGCTGTAGTTATCAGTGCTGGTCCTTACAAGTGCAGTAACACCATTTCCCAGCATACAATGTATCATTGTTAATACCTTGGGCAGTGTCTCGCTCTAAGACGCCGAGCGCTTCCTCTCACGGCGTGGCTTATTTGCACAGTGACACAGAAAACACATATTAACAGCACCTGATATTTATCCCAAAGTAACACCTGTGGCGGGTTTAAGAAAATTTGCTTTGGGATATTATCCTTTATTGGCTGCTCATGGGAAACCATAATTGCACGATGTTAGATCAACTACTAAGTGACTGAGTGTTGCGTTTTGTTTCCTGTGATGCCCACACTCCTGCCGCCTGACTGCCGTGTCACATGGCAGGCCACAAAAGCAACTGTGTTCAGATATTATTTTGCCCATATTTGGAGCTTTTGACAGGAGACACACTCACAGGCCAGCATTAAACTATTGGACATTGTTTGAGGCTGACCAGCATGCACAGACATTTTCTGCTCTGTTGCACCTTACCCTGCCAATGGCGGGCCTAATAGTTCATCTATTGAGGAAGGGCTTCAATCTTCCAAACAGTCAGATGTGGTTTTTACATGGTGATGAATGATAACATAACTAACTTGTGTAGGCTTGAGGTTGTCTGCTGCCTCTGAGTCTCTGCACCTGATGTTGATGCTTTTTGTTTGCTTTTTCTTTCTCTCTATTCTCTGTCTCACTCTTCCACCAACCTGTCTTTCACTCTCACTGTCCCTGTCTACACAAATTTCACAGCAGATATTTTGGGTCACACACACACTTTCAGTCAGTGTGCGTGTTTGCGTGTGTGCGTGTGTTTCATGTTTTTATATCCTGGTGGGGACTTGAACCTGAATGCGCAGTAACTGATAGGAAAATTGAGGTCCCAATGCAATTCAACTGAAAAATCCTGCTCCAGACAAACACACGCAAACACACGTTGACAGCTGAACAGCCAGGTGCTGAAACAAGCCTTTTCTTTCATTCTGCCCCTCCTCCCTCTCCAGCCCCTCTGTCTCTAACAATACTCTTCTTTCTTCTCTCTCTGGAATCAGAGATACACAAATGCACTTTACATTGTTGTTTGAGCATGAACAATGACAGCAGATAATGCTGTGGGCATAGACTGCATATAAAGCCGTTTAAACATTAACCAAACACCTGCAGCTGCAGGTGCGTCACGGATGTGAAGCAGAATACAAATAAATTTCAAAGTCAAGTTAATTCAAGTTAACTTCTTATTCCTAGGACACATTTCATTAGAAAGGAAAAAACACATGCTTTACATAAAACAATAAAAAGCACCACACAACAGAAAGTAGATAAATCTTTGGATAAAATACAAATGCAATAAAATACAAATGCAATGCAGTGGACACAGTGGGCTTTTGCACATGCACAAACATACATGTGCAATGGTCCTCGCCTTCATTGTCTTCAATGTTTGGTTACTGTGGTGCCACTGGGAGCTTTCTAACAGCAGAGCCATAAAGTCGCTGTATTTTTTACTAGAAGACCTACCTACAGCCAAACCACTTTCAGTTCAGTTTTTCTGGTAAAGACTAAGGCTGTTGAATAGAAGACGGCTTTGCAGTAATTTAATCTACTTGCAGCAAACGGCATCACAAGTTCTCAGTTTATAGTAAGAATAAGTGTTTTTA